AAAGCCTAGCTAGCAACTTGGTAACATTTTTATTAATTTATATGCTATCATATGCGAGTAGGCAAGATGTACCAAGAAAAAAAATATATGCAAGTAGGCAAGGGGAACCCGGCTAAAGATGTATTCTTCGGAGTTTTCAGGAAGGAATTAGAAAGCGACATAAAGTTATTCATCTCGAAAAGATTATTGTCTAAAACTCTATTTAGCATGGTCACAGTTTGAGGTTTTTTAGTTTTTATAAATTGTATAATCAAAGAAACTTAAAATGATACTAATACAAATAACTTTTGATTTAATATATTGTATAATATATTTGTTAAAAAATTATTATTTTAAGTCTAAAATTAAAAATAAAAAAACTTAAAAATGCAACAATGTATATCACATTACAATATATATAACATATAGGAATTGGTTGAATTAAATGCATTTATATTATATTTTAGGACAATGATACATACACCCCGCACAATTACACACTCCATTACGTTAGTATGTGACGAAAATCATTAATTTTAACAGTATAAATAACAGAAACTGTTAATTTTAATGGTGTAAGTAACAAAAATCATCAGTAACGAAAACCATCAGTTTTACTATTACAAGTAACAAAAACTGTCAGTACGTAACAAATGTATAATTTTGTAGGATGTACAGATCATTTCCCTATATTTTAATAGCTAAACTATTTGGGTGTAGGCATGTATGTCAAACCAATGAGTATTCAAATCATTTTTCAAAACAAAACTAGAAATTAAAAATTAAATATTTGTGTAAGATAAACTTTAACATTGACAATTAAAAATATTTACTTATTTAATGCATTAAAATTATTTTTGTTCTTAAATCTTTAATAATCATAATAATATGCCTCAAAAATATTTTATATTCAACATTAAACAAAATGAATAACCATAAACATGATTCCATAATTAAAATGCAATTACTTATTTCCATAACATGGAGAGATCTCTAACATTAACTTTCTAAAGGTGTTAAACATGTGAAATCAAATAAGTAAATCCCAACCTTTAAAATTATGAAACTGCTATAGTTATAATATCATATGACATTGTTAATTTACAACATAATATGTCATTATATAATTAGCTCTTTTCATTTAAAGATCAACCCATAATATTATATATATCCACTTATTTAATATCACGTTATATTTATTTAATGCCATGTAGAATTATAAGTTGACAACCCTATATGATATTGTAACTATAGTATTTACGTTAAAGTCAATCTTTTCACATTTGTAATTGAGTTTTTTCCTTCAAAATTACATAACAAATTAAATGAAAAGTGTGCAACAAACGAATTTACATTTCCATTAAGTTTCGGCATACCAAAATTAAGGTCAACACTATTGGACCATTGCAGGTGCATTTTGGACTAAAAAAAATCAAAGTCTTTATTGCATGGAATACTCAAATTTCTTGCTTTTGTTATTGTTAGTAGACGTACAACAAAAACAAATAATTCATTTTTATTAATACAAGTCAAAGCTTATCATAATATTTTAAGAATTTGATAATAAATTATGTTGGTACCATAATTAAATGTCAAAATAAGAAAGTCAATCAAAAAATAGTTAATAGAACAAAAAATTGTAGCAAAACTTAAAGGTAGCTGCTAAATTACCTAGTAAAGATATTAAGAAAGCAACGAAAACCAACTTGACTAAGAGTTTCTCCATATTTTTGTCCTAATGTTAGTATTTTTTTGTTTTTTTATGGCCTTCAAAATGTTAGTGGTTGTATTTCTATTGGACAATGATTAATACACACTTGGTTTAACACACTGCACAATACATTTATTAAAAAATCAATATTTCTTGGTCTGAAATTAAAAATAGACAAATTTAAAGATACAATCATATGCATACAAGGTGCAAGAACCGATCAAATCAACTATATTTATATTATATTTTTAATGACAAATCGAAAATATGTTAAAAAATATGTTGAATCAAGTGTGTATCAACCATTTTCCATTTTTATTAATTGTGTGCTCTAGATAAAATACGGTTAATACCTCGAGTCTTCAAAGCTTCAAGTTTATAGAGTTAATCCATCTACGATTTAGGTAAAAAAAACCCACAAATTAAGGAAATCTTCTTAAATTCTTTTACTTTTCCTTTTTTCACTATTCAAATAATAGTCGAAAGTTAGTCTAAATCCAATGTATATATAGTATCTAAATTTATATGATAACAAAATATGCAACAAAATATACAAATATACAAATATTAAGTAAATATTAAATCTTAGTCTGTGATCATGTGATGTTAATTTTCAAATTTAAAGTCTTTATATGCAACAAAATGTCATTGATAATTGTTAGACCTTAGTCTTTGATAATAATTGTCAAATGGTGTTTCTTTAAAACTTGCATGTTACATCTTAAAGTTGTTAGTCAAATGGTTCATCAGTTTGAATGGTTATGTTAGTTTTGAATCATTAAAATATCATACCAGTTTTAAGAAATCACCCAAGTTGTCATTGCTTTAGGGTACTAATCGAACCAGTTCAATTGACCAGTTCGATCTAACTTTCAAAATAATGAAATAGATTTTCAAATTAAATTAATTTAAAACTTATTAGACTTTAAATAAAATGTATAATTCATGACTTTAAACATTTATAACACACTAACATAATACAGTGACCTACATAGTTGGTGGAGTCATGCTGGTAGGAATAGGAAGGTTTAAAAATGGAAGAGATATCCCTTTGGAAAAGGAAAGATACAAAGAAAATCCTAAAAAGTAAAAGATGGGCAGCTTTTATTATTTCTAAGATTTTTTTATTATTTTTGGTATGTTATTATTTCTAAGAGTTGAAACAAGGTAATTATATATGACTTACTAATCAACATTTTTATTCCACATACAAGGTTTAACTGTCAATATGCATCTAAATTTTTCGCCTATTATAACACCTCCTTTTGCATTTTTGGAGTCTTGGTCATGGTGTCTTCAAATAATCGAGCTTGAGACTCATTACAAACACACAGACCAAGACCTAATGGTGCAAGGTTGCAAAAGCATCTTGGACTAGCACAATCAGCATTTGTATGGCATGGGATACTCAAATTTCTAGCTTTTGTTATTGCTTGTAGACCTACAACAAAGACAAATAATTCATTTCTATCAATGAAATGCAAAAATTGTTATAATATTTTAAATTTTTGATAATGAATTTTGTCGTTACCATAATTAAATGTTAAAAGAAAAAAGTCGATCATAAACTTGTTAATAGAAATAAAAGAGGGTAGCAAAAATCAAATTTAGCTGGTTAATGACCTAGTGAAAATATTAAGAAAGCAACCAAAACCAACTTGATTGAGAGCTTCTCTGTATTTTTTTTCTAATGTTGGTATTGTTGAATTTTTGTTAATTGTGTGCTAGAGATAAAATATGATTAATACCCTTTTGTTTTCAAAGCTTCGAATTTATAGAGATAATCCATATAAGATTTAGGTAAGAAAATCTAGAAATTATGTTAGGAGATCTTCTAAGATATTTTTACATTTCCCTTTTCACTTTTCAACTAATAGTGGAAAGAAAGGCTAAACCCAATGTATATATGTATAGTAACTAACTTGACATTGTGAGGATAATGATACGCATGAGAACAATTTTTTTTAATACCAACTTTTGGGGAAAACCCTTCTTAAGCCCCCAAACATACCCCAAAATAGTATTTAAGCCCTAAACTAAAAACGAAGCAAATAAATCCTTCAACTCCACTAACAATGCAAATAAGCCATTCTAATTCATGAGTATTCATGCTTTTAAGGTGATATTAAACTTAAAATATCGTTTGGTCCTTTTGTGAGAAGGGCTTATTTGCATTGTTAGTTGAGTTGGAGGGCTTATCTATTTCGTTTTAGTTTAAAGGTTTAAATGTTATTTAGGGATAAATTTGAGGCTTAAAAAGGGTTTTTGCCAAACTCCTATGGCCCTGTATTTGCATGCCTGCATCCTCAATCAATCCGTGAGGGCCAAGAGGTACTTGACATGGTACATACGATCTCTAACGCTGATTAGATTGTTTAACTATCCACCCATATCAACATTAAAATATATAAATAAGAAAAATATTTTATAATTTATT